GGGGTCATGTCTAGACAGGTCTGGGAGATGGCGTCGGAGGTGTCTAGGAACGGACTCGACCAGCAGCTCGACATGCCAGCTCGACGTCGGCAGCGGCGCCGCCGCAGCGCGAGCAGCGCCTGCGACAGCCCCGCCGCCGCCGCCGCCGCCGCGCCTGCCGGCGGCGGCGGCTGGTCCGAGTGCGCGGAGCATGGCGCCCCAGTCGTCGGGCGGGGGCGGAAGGGGGGCGGCGCCGCCTGTCGCCCGTCGAAGCCCGCATACAGACGGAGGAGCAGCCGCCAGCTCTGCCTCTCTGCGCGCAGCGCCGCCGCCTCCGCCTCCAGCGCCGGCCGTGAGCCGCCGCCTCCGTCCGGGGCGCGAAGCTTGCGCTCGGTGTCGTCGAGGGCGGCGGAGGCGAGCGCCTCGTACGCCTCGAGCAGCGGCAGGTACCCCGCCACCGGCGGCGGCGCCCTCTGCGCCACCCACCACTCCTCGAGCGCGAGCGCAAACCGCTGCGAGAGCGCCACGTCGGCGGGAGCGTCGGCGGCGACGGGGTCGGAGACGGCGCCGCGCGTGACCAGGGCGGCACCCGCCTGCGAGAAGCGGTCCGGCACCGCACCCGGCGCCGTGCCGAAGCCGCCGCCTCCTCCGTCAAAGTCGGGCAGCGAGAGCGCGAAGAGTGGCCGGTCAGCCGCGGCCGAGGCGGAGCGCGGCGTGGCGAGTGGAGCCGCGCCGCCCTCAGTGGCGGAGCTGAAGAGCGCCGCCCGCGGCCTCGTTGCCGGCGTTCTGCCCGGGGGCGAGGCGAGCATGGCACTGGCGGGCGAGTTTTTCTTTTTAGCATGATAAAGAAAGAAAGAATGGAAAAGACCGCCCATGGGTTGCCAACAATAGCTAACGCCCAAGGGAGGGATGGGAGGACGGCACGCCGCCACCACACAGGGATGGCACTGGAGGCCGGCGTTTTTCTTTTTTTAGCATTTAGTGAACTGCGCTCGCACCGAAAAAAGAAAGAATACGCCGAAAGAAATCCGCGGGCATGGCAGCCGGCGAGCTTGGTTTGCCGCTGCCCGGCCCGTGCGGCTGGCTCCTCGGCTTCCTCGACGAGGCCGGCGAGCCCGTGCCGCTCCTCGGTGTCGGCTGCGCCGCCACCACGGACGACGGCCTTCCGGACTGGGCCTGCGGCGACGCGTCGGCGCTCGGCACATCGCTCTGGCCGCGAGGCCTGACGCCGCTTGGTGTCTACTCGGACTGCGCGCCGCCCGAGGCGGCCGCGCGGCTGGCGAAGCTGCTCGGCGCGTGCGCGCCCCGGCTGCCGGCCCTCGCCGACGCCGAGCGCTCCGGGAGCCTCCTCTGCGCCGCCACCGGCGGCGGCGGCGCCGCCGCCTTCTTCCGAGGCGGCTCGTTCGCTGCCGCGACGGTGGCGCCCGAGGCGGAGCGGCGTGCGCGGTTCGCGGCAACCCACCTGTCCCTCCGCGCGCGCCTCGCCGTCTCGCTTTCGGCGCCACCGCCGGCCGGCGTCGCCTCGCTCGTCGAGGAGCTGCGCTCCAGGCGGCTCCTCAGTGGAGATGACCCGAGATGACCCGAGATTGCCCGAGATGACGCGAGCTGCGCTCTCGGCGGCTCCACATTGCGTCTCAGGATGCAGTCCCTCGCCCCTGACTCATGGTGAGTCCAGGCGGCTCCAACGTGGAGATCACCCGAGAGTACCCGAGAGCACCCGAGAGTACCTCAGAGTACCCGAGAGTACCCGAGAGTACCCGAGAGTACCTCAGAGTACCCGAGAGTACCCGAGAGTACCCGAGAGTAGCCGAGAGGACCCGAGAGTACTCGTGGTGAGCGCGCAGGCGGCTCCACTTTGCGTTCACGGACGCGCCGCACGTGGGCGTGGTGGCGCCCGGGCAGGAGGCGGGCCAGCCTTGCGCTGTTCGCATGCTCTCTCTCTCTCTCTCTCTCTCTCTCTCTCTCTCTCTCTCTCTCTCTCTCTCTCTCTCTCTCTCTCTCTCTCTCTCTCTCTCTCTCTCTCTCTCTCTCTCTCTCTCTCTCTTAGGAGTGGCAGTCGACTGCCGCAATGCTCGTGCTCGGTACACCATAGGAGGTGGGCCGGCGCTGCGCTGCGCTCGTCGAGCCGTGGGGCGTGGCTGCTCCTGGCGGCGACGGCGACGGCGACGAGGAGGAGGAGGAGGAGGAGGCGGAGGCGGAGGCGCGAGGAGGGAAGAAGGGGGGCAAGAAGGGGG